CAGCCTAAAATAAACTGTTTTAAAGTGGACAATTCAGTGACATTTAGAACATTCGCAGAGATAATACTCATCTCTATCTAGTTCAAGAAAAATTTTCCTGTAATCCCAGCACTTTGGGAGGCCGAGGCGGGTGGATCACGAGGTCAAGAGATCGAGACCATCCTGGTCAACATGGTGAAACCCCGTCCCTACTAAAAATACAAAAAATTAGCTGGGCATGGTGGCGCGTGCCTGTAATCCCAGCTACTCAGGAGGCTGAGGCAGGAGAATTGCCTGAACCCAGGAGGCAGAGGTTGTGGTGAGCCGAGATCGTGCCATTGCACTCCAGCCTGGGTAACAAGAGTGAAACTCCGTCTCAAAAAAAAAAAAAGAAAAGAAAAATTTTATCGGCCAAGAGTGGTGGCTCAAGCCTGTAATCTCAGCACTTTGGGAGGCCGAGGCGCGTGGATCACGAGGTCGAGATTGAGACCATCCTGGCCAACATGATGAAAACCCATCTCTACTTAAAAAATACAAAAATTAGCTGGGCATGGTGGTGCGTGCCTGCAGTCCCAGCTACTTTGGAGGCTGAGGCAGGAGAATTGCTTGAACCCGGGAGGCGGAGATTGCAGTGCACGGAGATTGCAGTGAGCGGAGATTGCAGTGAGCCGAGATCGCGCCATTGCAAATCAGCCTGGCGCCTGTGGACAGAGCAAGACTCTGTCTCAACAACAAAAAAAAAAAATGAAGAAGAAAAAAAAAATTTTTGTATCACCTCAAAATAAAACCCTGTTGTGTCTATCAAGCAGTTACCAATGTTTCCCAACTTTAACTGTAAGGCTGGTTCCCTTGCTCGGAGCTCGGACACGCCCATTCCCCCCCCATCACCAGAATATGCCCATCATCTAGCTCCGCCTTGGAAATCCCTCTGCGCTTGGCACTCAACCCCGCCCTTGGAAATCCCCTCTGCACTCGGCACCTAGCCCGCCCTTGAAAAGCCCCGCCAAAACCTGCCCAATAGCACATCGCCCCATCCAGAAATCCCGTCTACCTACCTATAGCAGCTTGCTACATCCACGTCCTGTTTCTCCACAGCCAATCAAATGCCTTAACTCCCTATAAAACCTCATGCCCAGAGGAGTCGATTGTGACTTCCCTGGCCTCATTCCCCCACACCATGGAACCTCGCCAGGGAGCCAAATAAATTGGCATTTAATCTTTTTTGTGCTGGCCTCAGTTTCCTCATTTTAAAGTCGGCAATAAACCTCGCAAGACAATAATCCTTACATTAACAGATTAAGAAACAGACTAAGACAGTAAGAAAAGTACTGGCTAGGAGCCATGGCTCATACGTGTAATCCCAGCACTTTGGGAGGCTGAGGTGGGAGGATTGCTTGAGCCTAAGAATTGGAGACCAGCCTAGTCATAACATAGTGAAACCCTCGTCTCTACAAAAAAATACGAAAATAAGTTGAGTGTGTACCTGTAATCCCAGCTCCTCAGGAGGCTGAGGTGGGAGGATTGCTTGAGCCTGGGAGGTCAAGGCTGCAGTGAGCCATGATTGTGCCCCTGCACTCCAGCCTGGGTGTCAGAGCAAGGCCCTGTCTCAAAAAAACAAAAAAAATAAAAAGAAAGAAAAAAAGTGCTAGGAACCCGAAACAAAATTCAAAAACTTTTTTTTCTTTTTCGTGTTTTTTTCTTTCCTATTTTTTTTTTTTTTTTTACTTTTTCCTTCAAATTTTTTATTTCTTATTATTTATTTATTATTGTTTTTTGGGTGAGACAGAGTTTCGCTCTTGTTACCCAGGCTGGAGTGCAATGGCGCGATCTCAGCTCACTGCAACCTCTGCCTCCTGAGATCAGGCAATTCTCCTGCCTCAGCCTCCTGAGTAGCTGGGATTACAGGCATGCGCCACCATGCCCAGCTAATTTTTTGTATTTTTAGTAGAGACGGGGTTTCACCATGTTGACCAGGATGGTCTCGATTTCTTGACCTCGTGATCCACCTGCCTCGGCCTCCCAAAGTGCTGGGATTACAGGCGTGAGCCACCGCGCCCGGCCAAAATTTTTAATTTTTAAATTAAGAAATGAGGTTGGGCGCGGTGGCTCACACCTGTAAAACCAGCACTTTGGGAGGCCGAGACAGGAGGTTCACTTGCGCCCCGGAATTTGGGACCAGTCTGGCCAACACGGTGAAAACCCATCTCTCTAAACAACAATGCAAAAATTAGCCAGGGTGGTGGCGAGTGCCTATAATCCAAGCTACTTGAGAGGCTGAGGGAAGAGAATCGCTTGAACCCGGGAGGCAGAGGTTGCAGTGAGCCCTTATTGTGGCTACCGCACTCCAGCCTGGGCCACAGAGTGAAACTCTGTCTCAAAGGAAAAAAACAGAAAAGAATATAATAATGAATTCAGTTTGGATTTATAAATATAAATGTGTTGATATAAAGACAATAGCCTGGGCCGGGCGCGGTGGCTCAAGCCTGTAATCCCAGCACTTTGGGAGGCCGAGGCCGGTGGATCACGAGGTCAAGAGATTGAGACCATCCTGGTCAACATGGTGAAACCCCGTCTCTACTAAAAATACAAAAAATTAGCTGGGCATGGTGGCGCGTGCCTATAATCCCAGCTACTCAGGAGGCTGAGGCAGGAGAATTGCCTGAGCCCAGGAGGCGGAGGTTGCGGTGAGCCGAGATCGCACCATTGCACTCCAGCCTGGGTAACGAGCGAAACTCCGTCTCAAAAAAAAAAAAAAGACAATAGCCTGTTCATATCAACACAGTTGTAAAGTAGAATTTTTAATTTTTAATGGAGAAAGGGGTCAGTCCACTGAGGCAACTGTGCTTAGAACTTCTGAAAGCCTCCAAGCTCTGCCACCACCATCTACTGCAAAAATCCTCTGAAAACAGAGTTGGGGTGCAGCGGGAGTGTGGGGGTGGGCAAAAGAAAAAAGAAGACGGTTGCGGCAAGTTCTTTTTTTTTTTTTTTTTTGAGACGGAGTTTGGCTGTTGTTACCCATACTGGAGTGTAATGCACGATCTCGGCTCACCGCAACCTCCGCCTCCTGGGTTCAAGCAGTTCTCCTGCCTCAGCCTCCCGAGTAGCTGGGACTACAGGCGCGCACCACCATGCCCAGCTAATTTTTGTATTTTTAGTAGAGACAGGGTGTCACCTTGTTGACCGGGATGGTCTCTACCTCTTGACCTCGTGATCCACCCGCCTCGGCCTCCCAAAGTGCTGGGATTATAGGCGTGAGCCACCGCGCCCAGCCAAATTCATTCTTAAATTGTAGGCTAATCCTGCCCCCTAGCGGCCACAGAGAAATCTCAGGAATTTATACCCCCTAGTTGTTGAGTATTTGCACCTACCAGATGCCTTGAACTTATGCTGCATTATTTTATCCTCACAATTCCATGAGGTAAGTAATATCCAAATGTATAGACAAACTGCCAAAGATCCGAGTGCTTAAGACAATTTTTTCTGAGACAAGGTATTACAGAAGTGAACGATGTTTCCTACTGAAGGAGGCACAGCGGGTGGAAGCGTTGGTGGGCAGGAAGCATGCTTTACAGTTTGAGACTGTCAGACCCAGTGTGGTGGCTCACGCTTGTAATCCCAGCATTTTGGGAGGCCAAGGTGAGCAGATCACTTGAGGTCAGCAGTTCGAGACCAGTCTGGCTAAAAGGATGAAAACCTGTCTCTACTAAAAATTAAAAAATTAGTCAGGTGTATGGCACGCCTATGGTCCTAGCTACTGGGGAGGCTGAGGTAGGAGAATAGCTTGAATCTGGGAGTCAGAGGCTGCAGTGAACTGAGATCACATCACTGTACTCCTACCTGGGAACAGAGTGAGGCTCTGTTTCAAAAAATAAAAAATAAAGTTGGAGACTTTTATTCTAAAAGCATTCAGGCAACAAAAGCCAAAATAGACAAATGGGACCTAATGAAACTCCACAGCTTCTGCACGTCTGCACGGCAAAAGAAACAGTCACTAGAGTGGATCGGCAACCAACAGAATGGGAAAAAATTTTTGCAGTTTACCCATCTGACAAAGGGCTGATATCCAGAATTTACAAAGAACTCAAACAGATTTACAGGAAAAAAACAAACAAGCCCATTCAAAAGTGGGCAAAGGATATGAATAGACACTTTACGAAAGAAGACATATATGAGGCCAACAATCATATGAAAAAATGCTCATCGTCACTGGTCATCAGAGAGATGCAAATCAAAACCACATTGAGATACCATCTCACGCCAGTTAGAATGGCGATCATTAAAAAATCTGGAGACAACAGATGCTGGAGAGGATGTGGAGAAAAAGGAACACTTTTACACTGTTGGTGGGAGTGTAAATTAGTTCAACCATTGTGGAAGACAGTGTGGCGATTCCTCAAGGCCTTAGAAATAGAAATTCCATTTGACCCAGCAATCCCATTACTGGGTATATATCCAAAAGACTATAAATCGTTCTACTATAAGGACACATGTACACGAATGTTCATTGCAGCACTGTTTACAATAGCAAAGACCTGGAATCAACCAAAATGCCCACTGATAATAGACTGGATTGGAAAAATGTGGCACATATACACCATGGAATATTATGCAGCAATCAGAAATGATGAGTTTGTGTCGTTTGTGGGGACATGGATGAATCTGGAGAACATCATCCTCAGCAAACTGACACAAGAACAGAAAATGAAACACCGCATATTCTCACTCATAGGCGGGTGATGAAAAATGAGAACAGATGGACACAGAAAGGGGAGCACTAAACACTGGGGTCTATTGGGGGGAAAAGGGGAGGGCCAGTGGGAGGGGGAGGTGGGGAGGGATAGCCTGGGGAGAAATGCCAAATGTGGGTGAAGGGGAGAAGGAAAGAAAAGCACACTGCCATGTGTGTTCCTGCGCAACTGTCTTGCATGCTCTGCTCATGTACCCCAAAACCTAAAATCCAATAAAAATTAAAAAAAAAAATAAAAAAAATAAAAAATAAATAAATAAAAGCATTCAGTGAGTCATTTATTTATTACTTGTCCTGTAAGCTTGGAAAAATAGGCTCTTTCCCACCACTCTACATGACAGTAACGAGCAAATCATTCTTATTAGACAAATACATGATTGGCAAACATTTTCTCTCATTCTGTGGGTTGTCTCTTCTCTCTCTCTCTCTCTCTGAAACAGAGTTTTGCTCTTGTTGCCCAGGCTGGAGTGCAATGGTGCGATCTCGGCTCACTGCAACCTCTGCCTCCCCAGTTCAAGTGATTTTACTGCCTCAGCCTCCCGCGTAGCTGGGATTACAGGCGCGTGCCACAATGCCCGGCTAATTTTGTATTTTTAGTAGCGACGGGGTTTCTCCATGTTGGTCAGGCTGGTCTAGAACTCCTGACCTCAAATGATCCGCCTGCCTCGGCCTCCAAAAGTGTTGGGATTACAGGTGTGAGCCACCGCATCTGGCATCTTTTCACTGGCTTGATAGTAGTGTTCCATGCGAAAATGTTTTAATTTTGAAGTTTATCTTTTTGTTGTTTTTGTTATCGTTGGCTGTGCTTTTCAATCCAGTGTCATGAAGATTTCCCCTATGTTTTTTTCTAAGAATGTTATATTTTTAACTCTTCACTTTAGGTCTCTGATCCATTTTGAATGAATTTTTGTATATGGTGTAAGATAAAGGTCCACTTTATGTTTTACATGTGGATATTTAGTTTTCCCAATGTACTTCATTTTGAAATAATTTTCCATTTCCTGCTGGTTTACTACTCTCAACGGGATAGTAAAAGCAATTAAACAAAAAAAAATTTTTTTTTGAGATGGAGTTTCACTCATTGCTCAGGCCAGAGGGCAATGGCGTGATCTCGGCTCACTGCAACCTCAGCCTCCCTGGTTCAAGCGATTCTCCTGCCTCAGCCTCCCAAGTAGCTGGGATTATAGGCATATGCCACTATGTCCAGCTAATTTTTTTAAAATTTTTAATAGAGATGGGGTTTCTCCATGGTGATCACGGTCGTCTCAAACTCTTGACCTCAGGTGATCTGCCTGCTTCAGCCACCTAAAGTGATGGAATTATAACTGTAAGCCACTGTGCCCAGCTTTTTGTGTGTGTGAGTGAGATGAAGTCTCACTCTGTTGCAATGTCACAATCACAGCTCACTGCAACCTTCACCTCCTGGGTTAAGGCGATTCTTGTGCCTCAGCCTTTGGAGTAGCTGGGATTACAGGCACATGCCACCATGCCCAGCTAATTTTTGTATTTTTAGTAGAGATGGGGTTTCACCATGTTGGCCAGGCTTATCTCAAACTCCTGACCTCAGGTGATATGCCTGCCTTGGCCTCCCAAAGTGCTGGTATTATAGGTGTGAGCCACTGCGCCTGGCCTTTTTTTTTTTTTCCCAATAGAAATGGAGTCTCACTACATTGTCCAGGCTGGTCTCAAACTCCTTGGCTCAAGCCATTCTCCCAACTCAGCCTCCCAAAGAGTGGGGATTACAGGAGTGAGCTACTGCACCTGGCCAAAACCAATTGTAAACGTTTTTTTTTTCAGACTTTTGTAAACAAAGCGAGGTATTTTCCCCCATACCAAACCTGGTGCCTTTTAAGCCCTCTGTTGGAGCTGAGTATGCCCTAGTTGAACTTAAGCAAACTTCACAGAAATAACGCAGGCAGCATATCCCTCCTCCTGTGTCAAATGCCGGGTGAAGGCAATTGTGATTATCAGCTTAGCAGAGGAAAAAGTAAGGCTGCATTCCTTCAGTTTTCAAACCCAAATTCTGCCAGATTCTAGGCAAAGGGTTTAAAAGAAAGAATGTTTAGAACATGGTTTTTGGAGTCAGAGAATATGTTCAAAGTCTGGCTTCACTATTTTATAGCCTTTGAGCATGTGACCTTTATGTACCCTTGAAGATGTTGCTTAATCTTCCTGAGCCTCAGGTACCTCATTTTAAAAACGGGGATAATGCCTCAGGCCTAGCTGCCAGTCTCTAGTCAGTGCTCAGTAAAAAGTAGCAGATGATCAAAAACGGGTTTTCCTCTTACAATTGAAGATAGGAACCTTTTCAAGAGCAAGCAGCAGGCACCGAATTTGACGACTGTTTGCCTCCGGTCTCTCTGGCAGCACAGTGGTAGGAGGTAAGAATGATATGACACCATGCATGCAAAGTGCTCACGACACACTCTGGCGATTAAAAAAAGGAGAGCTGAGTCATGGATGTCCAGTTTCCCCATCTGTAAAATGAGCAAGTTCGATCACTTGAAACGACATTCTTGGGCCTTGGATGACTCAGATTTTCCAGGCATATGCGGAAAGGCACGCCAGAGGGAAGGAGGAGGAGTGGTAGCGTTGCGACCGAGCCCAGGTTTAGCGAAACCGACAGCTCCACCGCCGGCACCAGTTCCCCTGGCTCTGGAGGTGCCAGGCTGGTGGGGTGGGGAGTAGCCACGGGGCGGAGTGATTCCGCGCCCAGCCTTCGGCTTTCTTCATTGGCCTGGTGAACTCGAGATTTGTGACGCCATAGGCGTGCGCCCAGAGTATGAAGGGGGTGTGGCTCGCTGAGAAGGAGGAGACAAGATGGCGACGTCCGTGGGGCACTGGTGCTTGCGATTGCCGCACAGGGTCGCGCCGTGGCGGAGCAGGTATAGCAGCGCGGGGAGACTGCCTTGGGGCGTGGGGCAACCTGGGCCAAGTCGGGGCTCGGAGACAGGTGTTCCTCTGTTGCAGACTCGCTCTCAGGCGAGCTCGGGTGGAGACGGAGCCTCCTTCACCTCGAGCTTAAGAGTAGGTGCGACTGCTACTGCGTGAGGCGGTCCGGATCTAGTTAGGGTGTGGTGTAGAGGCTCTCGCTTTGCCCTTTCCAGCTAGGTGGAAGTTCAGGAGTGACAAAATCCAGATGAAATAGGCTACCTGTCCGTCACTTGAGTCGAGGCAGGCTTTCAGATGTTCAGATGCCATTTTCTCGTGTTCGTTTTCGTAGAAGAAGCGATGTCCTGTGGGAAGGGCACTAGATTGAGAGTCAGGCAACCTTCATTTCTGGATCTTAGTCTTTGAAGCGAGAGGATTAGATTAGGTAATCTCAAAACAGCCTGTTAAGTGGCTAGTCTTGGTTACCCTTGTGACTCCCAGCTGTTAGGTTCTTAGAAATTTAAGAGACTTGAGGGGTTTTCCAAGTCCCTCTCTTTCTCTTTGGAGCTAACGAGATTGAGGCTCCGAGAGAGGGAGGGATTTGCTCAAGTTCACGCAGCCAGTTTGTAGCAGAGAAAGACCTCCGTCAAGGTACCTGTCTCTCACGCGACGATCTTTCTCTCAGGCTGCCCACCTGAGGGCAGTTATTATACAGAAAATAGCTTAGAGCATCTGGACTGCCGAAAAATGGATTAAAATGTTGGTAGCTGTGACTCAGAGTTGGCTGCCTGGTGTCATTTCAGAGAGCTAAGATTTGAGAGATGCGCCACACTTGTGTGTTTCCTGCAGGGTTTCTTTTATCAGCGTTTATCAGAACATGGTTTTTGGAGTCAGAGACGTATGTTCAAACTCTGGCTTCACTATTTTATAGGCTTATATTGTAGTTTTGGGAGGAGAAGGACACTGGATTTGGATTAAGAGGGAACAGAAACTATCATTGGTCTTGTTATGAAAGCGTCACGGCCGGGCACGGTGGCTCACGCGTGTAATCCAGCCCTTTGGGAGGCCGAGGTGGGTGGATCACGAGGTCAGGAGATTGAGACCATCCTGCCCAACGTGGAGAAATCTCGTCTCTATTAAAAATACAAAAATTAGCTGGGTGTGGTGGTATGCACCTGTAGTCCCAGCTACTCGGGAGGACGAGGCAGGTGAATCACATGTACCTGGGAGGTGGAGGTTGCAGTGAGCCAAGATTGCACCACTGCACTCCAGCCTGGACGACAGAGCGAGACTCCATCTCAAAAGAACAAAAAAAAACCACAAAAACAAAAACAAAAAACACAGAGGATTCCAGATAAGTCCCCATCCTGCTGCCAATTTCAGATTCAGTAGATATAAGTTGGAACCCCGGCAAGTGTAGTTTTTACAGGTTGATTCTTAGGTTTGGGCAAGTATGGACAGTAGTATCTAGGAAGTAGTTTCTCGTGTATGACTTCCATTTTAGAAATATTTATGGCATCCCTGCCACTGCAAACCAGTGTCAAGGGACCATGGAGAAGAGAGAAGGGAGGAGGAGAGAAATGAATTTAAAAACATTTGAAATAGGCCTTGTGTTCACGAAACTTTACAGTTTAGTAGGAGAGGAAACACTTCACTATGTACTTGTAATACAAAGTGGAATATAGGACAAAGCCAGTTCCGTTTTAGGAGAACTCTCACAGCTTTAGAAAGCAAGTGAGACATAAGGACTATAGGTAAAATGTTACTACTAGGGGTGATGTTAAAAATGTCTTAGGCTGCTTGGTGGCTCATACCTGTAATCCTAGCACTTTGAGAGGCTAAGGCAGGTGGATTGCGTGAGCTCAGGAGTTCAAGACTAGCCTGGGCAACATGATAAAACCCTATCTGTACAAAAAAAATACAAAAATTAGCTGGGCATGGTGATGCATACCTGCAGTCCCAGCTACTTGAGAGGCTGAGGTAGGAGGATCACCTGAGCCCAGGAGGTTGAGGCTGCAGTGAGCCAAAATCATGCCACTCCACACCAGAGTGGGCAACAGAGTGAGACCCTGTCTAAAAAAAAAAAAACAAGAAAAAATAGTGCAACTGGCCAGTTTGGTGGCTTATACCTGTAATCTTAACACTTTGGAAGGCCAAGGCAAGAGAATTGCTTGAGCCCAAGAGTTTGAGACCAACCTGAGCAACATAGTGAGACCTCGTCTCTACAAAAAATAGCTGGGTGCACGTCTGTGGTTCCATCTACTTGGGAATCTAAGGTGGGAGGTTCACTTGAGCCCAGGAGGTCGAGGCTGCGGTGAGCTGTGATTTCACCACTGCATTCCAGCCTGGGTGACAGACACCCTGTCTCAAAAATAAAAATAAAAAACTTACAACCAGGACACCATGGAGACAGACTAGTGAGTATGAATGCTGGTTATAAATGATTGATATGAACATTCCAGTGTATGCCAGCTGAATATCAACTCTACTTTTTTTTTTTTTAACAACTGGTAATTTATTAAAATAGCTGACTTAAGCATCTGCAGTGGTGACTTCCACCTCAACTCTTGGCTCAGTACTAATGGAAGTCATTTGCTTAACAATCTCAGAAGGACGGTGCAAGTCAGTGACTCACTTGTGGATTCTCATATGGAAAAGATCCCATGTCTTAGAACCTTCACCACAAGGTGCTTTTCTTGTCATTCTCAAAGTCTGGGTAGGCATCCGAACTGGTCCTTTCACTTTGCGATTCTTTTCCTTTGCTCCTCTGATCAAGTCAGCACACACCTTCTCCAGGGATTTTTCACTGCAGCTTGTTAGAGTGATTCGAATTCAGTGAACTGCCACCTCTGGCTCCACGGGTGTTTTTCAGTATCCTTAAAAGCCATGGCTGCTGCACAGCTTCCTGACCAACTTATTCCTCAGCAAGAGCACACAGCAGTGAGTCCGGAGCAGGAACATGCGGACCAGCAATCTGCAACAGCTAGTCTTCCTCAAAGAGCAACTCTTAGTTTTAATAATAATAACAATGCGTAACTAGGTGCCAGGCCCTGGGCTAAGGTTTTACATGATTGTCTTCTAATGAGATGAGTTTTGTTTTTGCTGTTGGAGAAACTGAGGCTTGAGATTAGTTAAGAAATTTCCTAAGGTCACACAACTGCTAGTAAGTGGCACAGGCAGACTGGAGTGCTTAATTGTGGGCTTTAATGGCCTACTTGCAGGATACAATATAGATTGCATGTAGAAGAGACATCTGGTTGAACCCATTCATTCATCTTTCTGGGGTGTACTCTCACTGTTGAGATTGAAGGTCAGTGAGAACACAGATAAACCCCAGCGTTCATTGAGGTATACATACAGTAAACAACGGAATATATGTAGAATCCATTCATGTTGGTTAATGAGAAATGCTATGAAGAAAAAGAAAGCAAGATAATTAAGAAGTTAGTGCTGGCCAGGTGTGGTGGCTCATGTCTATAATCCCAGCACTTCGGGACGCCAAGGTGGGCAGATCACCTGAGGTTGGGAGTTTGAGACCAACCTGACCAACATGGAGAAACCCTGTCTCTACTGTAAATACAAAATTAGCTGGGCATGGTGGTGCATGCCTGTAATCCCAGCTGCTGGAGAAGCTGAGGCAGGAGAATTGCTTGAACCTGGGAGGTAGAGGTGGCGGTGAGCTGAGATCGTGCCATTGCACTCCATCCGGGGCAACAAGAGTGAAATTCCATCACAAAAAAAAAAAGTTACTGCTCAACAGAAAAACAAACTTTGCATGTTCTCACTTATTTGTGGGAGCTGAAAATTAAAACAGTCGAACTAATGGAAGTAGTAGAAAGATGGTTATCAGAAGCTGGAAAGGTAGTGGGGGGATGGGAGGAAGTGGGGATGGTTAATGAGTATCAAAAAAAATAAAATGGGACTGGGCACGGTGGCTTGAGCCTGTAATCCCAGCACTTTGGTGGGTAGAGGCCGAGGTGGGTAGATCACTTGAGGTCGGAAGTTCAAGACCAGCCTGGCCAAAAAACCCTGTCTCTACTAAAAATACAAAAAGTTAGCTTGGCATGGTGATGCACTCTTGTAAGCCCAGCTACTCAGGAAGCTGAGGAAGGAGAATTGCTTGAATCTGGGAGGCAGAGGTTGCAGTGAGCCATGATTGCGCCATTGCACTCCAACCTGGGCTACAGAGCGAGACTCCATTCAAAAAAAAAAGATTACTTTGGCCACCGTGCCTGGCCACGAGATATTTTAATGGTAGTTTTCATGCCTTTCCAGTGGATTGAACGTGGATGATGAGAAAGAAGGACTTAAAAATGAGTTCTAGGCCAGGCATGGTGGCTCACACCTGTAATCCTAGCACTTTGGGAGGCCAAGGCAGGTGGATCACTTGAGGTCAGGAGTTTGAGACCAGCCTGGCCAACATGGTGAAACCCTGTCTCTGCTAAAAAATATACAAAAATTAGCCAGTTGTGGTGGTGTGTACCTGTAATCTTAGCTACTCAGAAGGCTGAGGCAGGAGAATCGTGTGAACCCAGCAGGCGGAGGTTGCAGTGAGCTGAGATAGTGCCACTACACTCCAGCCTGGGTGACAGAGTGAGACTCCATCTCAGAAAGAAAATCACAAAAGTATGAGTCCTTGCCTGGCACAGTGTCTTACACCTGTAATCCCAGCCCTTTGGGAGGCTGTGGTGGGAGGATCACTTGAGCCCAGGAATTCGAGACCAGTCTGGGCCAGATGGCAAGACCTCATCTCTTTTTTTTTTTTTTTGAGACAGAGTTTCACTCTTGTTACCCAGGCTGGAGTGCAATGGCGTGATCTCAGCTCATGGCAACCTCTGCCTCTTGGGTTCAGGCAATTCTCCTGCCTCAGCCTCCTGGCAAGACCTCATCTCTATAAAATAATTAAAAACTAGCCAGGCTGGGCGCAGTGGCTCATGCCTATAATCCCAGCACGTTGGGAGGCCAAGGTGGGCGGATCAGCTGAGGTTGGGAGTTTGAGATCAGCCTGACCAACATGGAGAAACCCTGTCTCTACTGAAAATACAAAATTAGCCGGGCATGGTCGTGCACGCCTGTAATCCCAGCTACTCGGAAGGCTGAGGCAGGAGAGTTGCTTCAACCCAGAAGGCAGAGGTTGCGGTGAGCTGAAATTACACCATCGCACTCCAGCCTAGGCAACAAGAGTGAAACTCCGTCTCAAAAAAAAAAAAAAAAAAAAAAAAAAGGTCATACTTGAGTGACTGGGTGGGTGAATGGTGGTACCTTTTTTTTACCCGGTATGTCAGTTATAGTAATATTGGTACTATAACAGATTAAACCCGTTTCAGCATTCTTAGTGGCTTAACACAGTAGAAGTTTATTTCTCACTTTTGTAAAGTCCCATTGGGTGCTTTTGGCAGGGCAGCTGTTTTCCAAGCGATGTTCAGCCACCCAGTCTCCTGCCATCTTTTTTTTTTTTGAGACGGAGTTTCACTCTTATTACCCAGGCTAGAGTGCAATGGCGCGATACAGGCTCACCGCAACCTCCGCCTCCTGGGTTCAAGCAATTCTCCTGCCTCAGCCTCCCGAGTAGCTGGGACTACAGGCACGCGCCACCATGCCCAGCTAATTTTTGTATTTTTTTTAGTAGAGACGGGGTTTCACCATGTTGACCAGGATGGTCTCGATCTCTTGACCTCGTGATCCACCCGCCTCAGCCTCCCAAATTGCTGGGATTAGAGGTGTGAGCCACCGTGCCCGGCCTACTACTATCTTTTTTTTGGAGATGGAGTGTCACTCTGTGGCCCAGGCTGGAATGCAGTGGCACTATCTTGGCTCACTGCAACCTCTGCCTCCCAGTTTCAAGCAGTTCTCCTGCCTCAGCCTGCTGAGTAGCTGGGACTCCAGGCGCTTACTGCCACACCTAGCTTTTAGTAGAGACAGGGTTTCATCATGTTGCCCAGGCTGGTCTCAAATTCCTGAGCTCAGGCAATTCACCCACCTCGGCCTACAAAAGTGCTAGGATTACAGGTGTGAGCCTGGCCTTCTTGCCGTCTTTAATACATGACTTCCCAAGCAGGCTGGATGGGGAAAGCTTGGGGGTCAATGCCTGGGAAGCCTGAATGATCCTCAGATTCCATTGGTTCAAACTCAGTCTCATGGCCACACCATGCTGCAAGGGAGGCTGGGGAATGTAGTCTAACAGGTGTCCAGAAGAGGAAGTGCATTTGGTAAACATCTGGCTAGTCTGCCATGGAAAGAGAACTCTGGACCAGGAACAGTTTGAAGGTAAGTTAGAGAGGATCAGGAATCCTGTCTTCTACAGACTCAGTTTGAGAGGACTCAAAGTGGGGACACTGGGTAGCCAGCCCCTGGAGGAGCAATGGAGTGGTGCTTGGGGGAGTCTTGGGGGTGGTGCTCATCATGGTAAGATGCTTTTTCTCTATACAAACCTTGTTTGTCTATAGGAGGATCAGATTCAACATGTTAGCTAAAATAGTGCCATGCTGTGAGGGTGTGTGTGTGCGTTTTTTTTTTTTTTTTTTTTTTTTTTAAGGCAGTGTCCCACTCTGTCATCCAGGCTGGAGTGCAGTGGTGAGATTTTGGCTCACTGCAAAATCATCAGTCGATGGTTCTTTAAAACCATGGGACTGGATAAGCATCTCTAGGGAGAGTGTGTAGATAGAGAAGAGATCTGAACCCTGGGCATGGCAAGAATCCAAAGTCGGGAAGCAAAGGAGAATTCACAAAAAGACTGAGAAGAAACCAGAGAAATGGGAGGAAAAATCAGGGTTCCAAAAGCCCAGTAAAGAATGTTTCAAGGAGAGAAGGATCACCTGTGTCATGCTGCTGAGGTATCAAGTAAGATGAGCCCTCAGATGTGTGGATGCATTGGTGTTGGCAGCATGGAGGTTGTTGGTGACCTTGATAAAGTGGTGTGATAGGAACAAAAGCCTTGTTGAGTGGAACTAAGAGAGGCTAAGAGGTGAGGAAGTGGTGACAGTGAAATAGAGAGCTCTTTTTAGGCTTGGAATGAAGGTGAGCAGAAAGTAGAGTGGAACTGAAGAATGAGAAATGGTAGACAGTGTTTGTGTAAGACTGAAGAAATGACAGTGTTCATATGAAAATAGGGACAATCCGATAAAATGAAACATTTCCCAATATTTGATCCAGGAGCTGGGGCTTCAGCAGTGGACAAAAAGCCAAGCTCTTTGTTCTTGGGCGGGGTTTCTGAGGGGAAGATGGACGTGCAGAACACACCACCTGAGTGCCCTGCATCCAGTTACGGTGGATACATAAATGATTATCTCCCATTCCTGTTTCCTCCTGTCAGACAAAGCCTTGTTAAGCAATCTGCAAACATTCTTTCAGTTAGGGGTTTTTCAGTATTCTGGAACACACAATGCGGCAATGTACAGAACACAACAGTTTATCTTTTAGTCAGTTTTTGCACTTCCTGTTCAAATTCTGTTTAGAAAGCAGAGTTTTAGGCTTTTTGCTGTGATAGTGGGAGTATTCAGTCTAAGAAATGAGCATTGTTCAGAACTGAAAGAACTTTCATGTACTGAAATACACCCTTCATTGTGTTAATAGCTGTACATCTGTCTGGCCTTGGGGGTGGTGCTCATCATGGTAAGATGCTTTTTCTCTATCCAAACCTTGTTTGCCTATAGGAGGATCAGATTCATCATGTTAGCTACAATAGTGCCATGCTGTAAGGGTGTGTGTGGTTTTTTTTTTTTTTTTTTTTTTTTTTTAAGGCACGGTCCCACTCTGTCACCCAGGCTGGAGTGCAGTGGTAAGATTTTGGCTCACTGCAACCTCCAACTCCTGGGTTCAGGCAGTCTTCCCACTTCAGCTTTTTGGTTAGCTAGGACTACAGGCGCATACCACCACGCCTGGCTAATTTTTGTATTTTTTGTACGGATGGGGTTTCGCCATGTTGCCCAGGCTGGTCCCGAACTGTGGAGCTCAAGCAATCTGCCTACCTCAGCCTCCCGCAGTGCCAGGATTATGGTCGTGATTATAGTTGTTTCAGGCTTACAGAACATTATGAAAATAGTACATAGAATTCCTAAATACCTTTTACCCAGATTCTTCAAATGTCAGCCCTATTTTTTTTATCATTTTCCATCTCTGTTTGTATGTATATGTGTATGTACACATATGCTTTTTTTTTCTGAGACACTTGCTGAGCAATTTGCTGACTTGTCGACCGTTTGCTTTTAAATATTTCTAGGCCAAGCGAGGTGGCTTATACCTGTAATCCCAGCACTTTGGGAGGCCGAGTCTGGTGGATCACATGAGATCAGGAGTTTGAGACCAGCCTGGCCAAAATGGTGAAACCCTGTCTCTACTGAAAATACAAAAATTAGCTGGGCATGGTGGTGGATGCCTGTAATTCCAGCTTCTTGGGAAGCTGAGGCAGGAGAATTGCTTGAGCCCAGGAGGTGGAGGTTGTAGTGAGCTGAGATTGTGCCCCTGCACTCCAGTATGGGCAACAGGGTGAGACTGTCTCTAAATAAATAAAAATAATGTAATCTCAGCACTTTGGGAGGCCGAAGCAGGTGGATCACAAGATCAGGTGATGGAGACCATCCTGGCCAACATGGTGAAACCCCATCTCTACTAAAAATACAAAAATTAGCTAAGCATAGTGTTGCACTCCTATAATTCCAGCTACTTGGGAGACTGAGGCAGGAGAATAACTGGAACCCAGGAGACGGAGTTTGCAGTGAGCCAAGATCGCACCAGCGCATTCCAGCTTGGTGACATTATTTTATTTTGTTTTGAGACGGAGTCTCAAAACAAAATAATAAAAAAAAAATTTCAGTTTTTCTCCCACAAGGACATTTTCTTACATACAGTACAATTGTCAAAACCAAGAAATTTACATTAATACAATATTGTTATTTAAATTTTGCCAACTAATCCAGTAATTTAAGAATAATATTTAATGGTTCATTTTTGCTTGGTTATAGCTTCCATCACTGTGAGAACACTGCCTTGAGCCACTCCCTACAGCCCTTACGGAAGCTGCATTTTAGAGCCTTTCGCACAGGTAAGGAGCAGTTAGAGGTGGTGCGGGCCCTCTCTGTGCCTCAGTTTGGTCATCTGTAAATTGGGATAAACATAGGGTTGTTGTTAGAATTAAATGAATTAGTATGGAAAGTACCTGGCATGCAGTTATCACCGAAGCATTAGCTTTGCTTTTCTTTTTATTTTGAGACAGTCTTGCTCTCTTGCCCGGGCTGGAATGCAATGGTGCAGTCTTGGTTTACTGAACCTCCACCTCCTGGGTTCAAGCAAGTCTCATTCCCCAAGTAGAGACTGCATGTATACTGGCTGATTTTTGTATTTTTAGTAGAGATGGGGTTTTGCTATGTTGCCCAGGCTGGTCTCAAACTCCTGGTCTCAAGTGATCTGCCCACCTTGGCCTCCCAAAGTGCTGGGATTATAGGCATGAGCCACCACACCTGCCTCATTGTTTTTTTGATTATAGCCATTCCAATGGGTGTGAGGGGGTCTCATTGTGGTTTTGGTTTGCATTTCCCTGATCACTAATAATGTTGTATTAGTTTGCTAGGGCTGCTGTAACAAAGGAACACAAACTGGGTTGCTTGAACAGCAGACGTTTGTCTCATGATTCTAGAGGGTAAATGTCTGACATCAAGGAGTCAGCAGGGTTGCTTCCTTTGGAGGGCTGTGAGAGAGAACCTGTTCCATGCCTCTCGCCCAGCTTCCAGTGGTTTGCTGGCTCTCTGGCATTCCTTAGATATGGAAGCATCACTCCAATCTCTGCCTTCAACTTCACATGGTATTCTCCCTGTGTGCATGTCTGTTTCTGGATTTTCCCTTTTTATTTTTTTAAATTTTTATTATCTTTTTCCGAGACAGAGCCTTGCTCTATTGCCCAGGCTGGAGTGCATGACCTTGGCTCACTACAACCTCCACCTCCCAGGTTCAAGTGATTCTTCTGCCTCAGCCTCCCAAGTAGCTGGGACTATAGGCACCTGCCACCACGCCTGGCTAGTTTTTGTATTTTTAGTAGAGGCGGCGTTTCACCATATTGGCCAGGCTAGTCTCAAACTCCTGACCTTGCGATCTGCCCACCTGGGCCTCCCAAAGTGCTGGGATTACAGGTGTGAGCCACTGCGCCTGGCTGATTTTCCCTTTTTATAAGGATATCCATCATACTGGATTTGGACCCACCTTGGCAACCTCATTTTAACTTGATAACCTCTGTAAAGACCCTCTTTCTAACCAAGTAAAATCACATTCTAAGGTACTCAGGGTGAGAACTTCAACGTAAGAATTTTGGGGAGTTTTCAGCAATTGAATGCATAACAGATCTTTAACTCTGTTTTTTCTTGTGCTTATTGGCCAATGTATATTTTCTTTGGACAAAGGTCTATTCAAATTCTTTGCACATTTTGATTAATTGATTGAGTCTCACTCTGTTGCTCAGGCTGGAGTCTAGTGGCATCATCATAGCTCACTGTAACCTTGAACTCTTGGGTTCAAGCCATCCTCCCACCTCAGTCTCCCTAGTAGCTGGGACTATAGGTGCAAGCCACTGTGCCTGGCTATTTGTCTTTTTATTGCTGACCTGTAAGAATTGATGAGATTTTTGCATTTGAGAGATAATATCAGTGACCCATCAAAATTGAGCCTGCATTATAAAAGCAAGATCAAAGAGCCCTGGGTGAGAAATGGTATTTGACTTCAAGCTCTAGACCTGTTTATGCACCTGGGCCGCCTTGATTAGTTTCTTTTTTTTATTTTTTTGAGATGGAGTTTTGCTCGTTACCCAGGCTGGAGTGCAATGGCTCGATCTCGGCTCACCGCAACCTCTGCCTCCTGGGTTCAGGCAATTCTCCTGCCTCAGCCTCCCGAGTAGCTGGCATTACAGGCACGTGCCACCAGCTAATTTTTTGTATTTTTAGTAGAGACAGGGTTTCACCATGTTGACCAGGATGGTCTTGATCTCCTTATCTCATGATCCACCACCTTGGCCTCCCAAAGTGCTGGGATTACAAACTTGAGCCACCGCGCCTGGCCGATTAATTTCTTAACCTCTTTGTGATTCAGTGTTTTCATCTTATTAATACATTTTGTGACTGCAGTGGCAATTGAAGTGGATTATAATTCTGTAGGAAAGATGCCTGTCCTGTTGTTACTGACAGTATTTGGAGACAGGAGGGTCTCAGTAGTGGCCCAAGGTTATGTCTGCCTGCTAGATATCTTAGACCCAGTCACCTTTGCTGAGGGCCTCTGAGGTGCGCTGACTTTTCCTGACCCTCCTGTTGGTGTGTTTGCATGACTCTTCCCTATTCTTGTCTCTCAGGCTCAAAATTGTCATGTTTTTTGTTACAGATGCCAGAAAAATCCACACTGCCCCTACCCGAAGCATGTTCCTGCTGCGCCCCCTGCCCATTCTGTTGGCAACAGGCGGCGGATATGCAGGGTACCGGCAGTATGAGAAGTACAGGGAGCGAGAGCTGGAGAAGCTGGGATTGGAGATTCCACCCAAACTCGCTGGTCACTGGGAGGTAGGAATGAGGCAGAACTGCCTGGGGTTCTTGTCCAGCAAACTGTCACTCTTCCAGTTGTGTCAAAGTTGGAATGTTTCAAGTCAAATATGTTTCCTTGGAGCTCACGTCTCCAGTAGCTTTTGGCCAGATATAAGAGTTACACCTTTGGTGTCATGTCAAGCTTGTATTCTGTCCCCAGACCTAACCTTGGTCTTCCCAAGGGTTCAGAGTAGAAATTCCTTGTTGTTGAAGTCTCAGGGTGTATGTTTGAGTTGGTGCTGACATCCTGGCTGTTCTGATATTCTTGCCCTTGTTAGTATGAATAAGGCTGAAACTATTGAGCTTTTGTGATGTGGATTAGTTCTCACCAGGAACCAGACAAATAATCAAATTCCTTTGTCATTATTGCTCATAATGCTTCCTCCCATCATAGTCACAAGATAGGGGCAGCCTGCATTGCTGTCGAATGCATGATATATAACAAAACATCTTGTTCATCTCTGCTTCCCGGTCCCAGGATGATGCCTGTCTCAGAGGAGACATTCAGTAAAACAGACATTCAGAAAAAAGAGGCCGGGCATGGTGGTTCATGCCTGTAATCCCAGCACTTTGGGAGGCCAAGCAGGACCGATCACTTGAGGCTAGGAGTTTGAAACGGCCTGGCCAACATGGTGAAACCTAGTCTCTACTAAAAATACAAAAATGTGGCGGGCATGATGGCAGGTGCCTGTAATCCCAGTTACTCTAAAGGCTGAGGCAGGAGAATCACTTGAACCCACGAGGTGGAGGTTGCAGTGAGCTGAGATCACATCATTGCAATCCAGCCTGGACAACAAGAGTGAAACTCTGTTTCAAAAAAAAAGGTATAAGTTTAACAGTTGCCTTTTTTTGTAGCCATAATTTAACAAATAAAAAATCTAAATATCTAAGGACCAATAATAGGCCTCAATACCCTGGCAAAAGATGTGGTGACAGTTGAAGCTTTGTGATACCTGGAATGCAATGGTGATCCACTCCATATTGCTAATAGGTCAGCTGAATCCATTCTAATAGACATATGGTGATTGGGGCATCAGGATGCTGAAGGCAAGTCCCAACCATGCGCTGCAGTAGCTGTGTAAACTGGGACATGTCACTTTCTGTCTGGTTCCATGTCTTTAACAGTAAAACAGCAGGTTGGGTTGAAACATGACTGTGAGATTCCATCCAACTCTAACACAGTTTATCTAGGAATATTTGCTGCCATTGGCATTACATGCTGCATTATAGATTTCCTTCAAGAATCCTTTTTTGGACTTTGATTTTGATCGTTTTTTTCCTGTAGAATCCAGTATATGGACTTCACTTGATTTCTAACAGTTCTGTAAAACCATGACTTAGTCAACTGATCATACAGATCCAGCTGTGGCAGTTGACCTAAGAGATATCTGTCTGCCCCCACCCGTGTCCATGTGCCTGCCCTTTGGCCTCTTTATAGACCTTGGGCTTTGTAATAACCTACCTTAAACAAAAAAAAGTTTTCTGGTACTATGTCAGAAAATCCTTTTGGTGAAGGGTAATTATGTAGTAGGTAAGTTACACTTTCAAAGTATGCTGCACTCTGTTTCCCATGGCACTGCTGGTTTCCCCTGTAAATATCATTCTTTATTAGATTAGTAAAGTACTTGTGAGTGTAGGTAGCACATGACTGTAACTGCATGAGCCCCCTCAAGTGTTAAACCCAAGCTGACATCTTTCTGACCTTGGGCATTTGTGAGGTTGACTCACCCTATGATGAGCTTGCATGCTTTTAAGAAGTTCTCACACACTTCAAAGGTTTCCCAAGAGAATATAAATTCGGAAGAAATTTGCCACTTCTAAAGTCATAAAAGACCAATGCCAGTAGTTTTTTTTTGAGATGGAGTTTTGCTCTTGTTACCCAGACTGGAGTGCAATGGCAGGATCTCAGCTCACCGCAACCTCCGCCTCCTGGGTTCAAGCAGTTCTCCTGCCTCAGCCTCCCAAGTAGCTGGGACTACAGGCTGTACCACCATGCCCAGCTAATTTTTGTATTTTTAGTAGAGACGGGGTTTCACCTTGTTGACCAGGATGGTCTTGATCTGTTGACCTTGTGATCCACCTGCCTCAGCCTCCCAAAGTGCTGGGATTATAGGCGTGAGCCACTGTGCCTGGCCAATGCCAGTAGTTTTTTAGTATCTTGCTCTATTGTCCAGGCTGGTCTCAGACTTCTGGGCTCAAGTGATCCTTCGGCCTCAGCCTCCCAAAGTACTGGGATTACAGGTATGAGCCACTGTACCTGGCCACTCCTGGATTTTCAAATAGGACTCCAAAATTTCATTTTATGAAGAAGGAGTGGTCTGGATCTGGAGTTGACATTGTAGGTTGAGTATCCCTTATCTGAAATGCTTGGAACTGGAAGTGTCTCAGATATTTTTTTTGGATTTTGCAACGTCTGTATATACATACTGAGGTATGTTCGGGATGTGATGCAAGTCTAAACCCAAAATTTATTTATTTATTTATTTACTTTTGAGACTCCATCTCAAGAAATTATTTAAAAATAATCATACTTTTTAATCAGTTAATTAAAAATTCTTTAATTTTTTTTTTATTATTATTATTTTTTTTGAGACAGAGTCTTGCTCTGTTGCCAGGTGCCAGACTGGAGTGCAGTGGCACGATCTTGGCTCACTGCAACCTCTGCCTCCCGGTTTCAGGCAATTCTTCTGCTTCAGACTCCCAGGTAGCTGTGATCACAGGCGTGCACAACCACGCCCAGCTAATTTTTGTATTTTTTAGTGGAGACTGGGTTTCACCATGGTCTCAATTTCTTGACATCGTGATCCATCCCCCTCGGTCTCCCAAAGTGCTGGGATTATAGGTGTGAGCCACCATGCCCGGCCTATTTTATTTTTTTATAGTCTGTTGCTCAGGTTGGAGTGCAATGGCATGATCTTGGCTCGCTGCAACCTCTGCCTCCTGGGTTCAAGTGATTCTCCCACTTCAGCCTCCCCAGTAGCTGGGGTTACAGGCACCTGACATCATACCTGGTTTATTTTTGTATTTTTGTAGAGACAGGGTTTCACCATGTTGGTCAGGCTGGTCTCGAACTCCTGAACTCATGTGATTCACCCACCTTGGCCTCCCAAAGTGCTGGGATTATAGGTGTGAACCTCCGTGTCTGGCCAATTTGTTTATTTATTTGAGGCAGGGTCTTACTGCATCCTTGACCTAGGCTCAAAAGATCCTCCTACCTCAGCCTTCCTGAGTAGCTAGGAACGTAAACATATGCCACCATGCCTGGCTAATTTGTTTGAATGTTTGTGGAGATGATAGTCTCATTTATGTTTTACATATATCTTCTATACATTGCCTGAGGGTAGCTTTATACAATACTTTAAATAATTTTTTTCATGAAACAAAGTTTTGACTGTGACTTGTCACACGACATCAGATGTAGAATTTTCCACTTGTTGGTGTCATATCGGCACTCAAAAAGTTTCTGATTTTGGAGCATTTTGGATGTTCGGATTAGCGATACCCAACTGTTGAAGTTTTCAGGAACTGCAACAGGTTGAGTGGGAGGGTCTTGAATGGCTGTCTGGTGCTGGGTCCTAGTCTCACCTCTTGTTCCACCTAATCATCACAAATGAAATACATGAGATTTTCCAAATCTAGCTGATCATGAGAATTGTTGGGGAGCTTTAAAAATTATGAATTTGAATTCCTTAACTCCTGAAATCTAGAAAGTTTGGGCTAGGCTCAAGATCTGTGTTTTTCAGAAGCCCTGTAGGTGATTCTGATAAGCCAGCTTGAAGAACTATGGGCAGATGAACCCTACCTAATGTTCCCTTCAGGGCTTCATTTTTTTTTTCCTTTTTTGAGACAGGGTCTTGCCCTGTCGATCTTGGCTCACTGCAACCTCTGCTTCCCTGGTTCAACCAATTCTCCTGCCTCAGCCTCCTGAGTAGCTGAGATTACAGATGTGCACCACCATGTCAACTAATTTTTGTATTTTTTAGTAGAGACAGGGTTTCACCATATTGGCCAGGCTGGTCTTGAACTCCTGACCTCAAGTGATCTGCCCGCCTTGGCCTCCTAAAGTGCTAGGATTATAGGCATGAGCCACCGTGCACAGCTGCTAATTTTTCTATTTTTTGTTGAGATGGGATTTTGACATGTTGCCAGGCTGGTTTCTAAGTCCTGAGCTCAAGAGATTCACCCATCTTGACCTCCCAAATTGCTAGAATTACAGGCATGAGCCACTGTACCTGGCCAGTTTTAGGTTGTTGTTGTTTTTCAGAGACAGGGTCTTATTGTGCTGCTCAGGCTGGAGAGTAGTGGTGTGATCATAGCTTGCTACAGCCTTGAACACCTGGGCTCACATGCTTCTTTTACCTTAGCCTTCCCAGTAGTGAACGACAGGTGTGTGCCACTTCACCAGGCTGATTTTGTTCTTATGTTTCTTTTATCCATTTTGAGTTAATTTTTGTTTATGGTATTAGAGAAGAATTAACTGCCATTCTTTTGCATGTGGATGTCCAGTTTTCCTAGTACCATACATTGAAAAGATTATCCTTTCCCTATTGAATGGTCTTGGAAAGCTTGTGGAAATCAGTCTTATTCTCTGTTAAATGACAGAGATGATACAGCAAACGCTATGACAGAATGTTGGAAAACAGGACATCAAGATTCCCATGCCTTCTCACCATGTGACTGATTGCTTAATCATGAGCTTTATTTTTCATGCATTCACTTCCTGTCTTTGTTTCTATTTTAAAATGAATTCAGCTGTTTTTTTCTTTTTCTTTTTTTTTCTCTTTTTTGAGGCAGGGTCTGGCTTGTTGCCCAGGCTAAAGTGCAGTGGTGCAATCACAGCTCACTGTAACCTCAACATCCCGGGTTTAAGCAGTCCTCCCACCTCTGCCTCCCAAGTAGCTGGGACCAGAGGCATGTACCACCACCACACCCAGCTAATTTTTTGTAGAGCTGGGATCTCACTGTGTTGTCTAGGCTGG